GTCAGAAAAAAGCTCAGAGCTGATTGGCTGATTCTACTGTCAATCCAGCACATGTACCGTGGGCGGGACAYGAGGAGCTTTGTCTTTTGGGCTCTGGAGCRATTCGATGAACTCGGGTGATCAAATGAGGTGTCAATCAGGCCAACATTGTAAATAAGAAATGGTTCTTAATGTTTTGCCTGGTAAAATAAAACAAAACAAAATTAAATAAAACAAAATAAAAAGAGGAGTGTCTAAATGACCATTTTGGTGTCCTTGTTTTTAAATCTGTTCCCACATAAACTGTGCAGGATGCTTTAAACTGAAACTAAAGTTCTGTGGTGGAGCCAAATAATTCYATAAATTGCTCAATCCTGACATCGCTCTTGCCCGAGTGGTTCACCTTTGATCCATTTGAGAACCTTGAGCTCAGATTTGGAGGAGCTGAGCCACTTCAGTCACAACTGTGAACCAACAGAACCGGGAGAAGCAAAGATGAGAACCGTTGCACTAAGAAGGTGGACACACCTCTTCATTGGGTCATATGTGGACCAGGTAGATTTGTTCCATATTTTTAGTTTTATAATGACACCACCTCTGGCCTGAAAGGCCCACGGGCCACCATTTGACAATCTCAGTTAGATCTGGACTCATTTTGTCAGAGAACCCTGAGCTAACCCTCCTCCAGATCCACAGAACACATGGAGACCGGACTCTAGGAGCTGATGTTAGTGAGAAACCAAAAAATAATGCAAGAAGAAAACAGCAAACATAAAAAGTAAGGGAGGATGAAGATAGCTCACATGAATGTTTCCCAGGTTCTGTCTTCACTTTAGCTCCTCCCCCCTCACCCAGAGGTGATGAAGACCACCATCATTACATCACATCAATTAGTCTCATGTCTTACGTTGGTGACACAACATGCCCTGTGACCACACTAACAGTGGGCTCAGTCTGCCCTTGCCCACATATAACAACCCACCCTGACAGAAACATATAACAACCCACCCTGACAGAAACATATAACAACCCACCCTGACAGAAACAGAAAAAACAGCTGATATTGCCAGGCGGAAGGTCACGCCAAACAAATGGAGCATGTCCAACGGTTGACACGTCACATCTTGCAGCAATCATAACCTCACTGTTCCCCAAACCTGACGAGTCTGTGTCATCACCTCTAAAACCAGCTGGTCTGTTCTGGATCTGAGACCCTGCAGAAACTAAACTCAACAGTTCAAACAGAAACTAATAAGAGGCAGGAGTCTCTACTGGGATTGTTCCAGCTGGGAGAATTATGCTCCCATTTGCAAGTGCGAAACAGATTTTTAAAAATCAAGCAGACGAGTGAAYGGAACAATCAAATCGCCCCACAGGAAGCAGAAACTTTGTTAATGTGATCCAAACTGGGTCCAAACTTKCAGTGCAGTGAAACAGCAAATTATGTGTTGAATACTCTGCCATTATCAAGAAACTAATCCCCGTCTACCTGCTGCGTGACATGCACATGATGAAAAACATGAGGACAAAACACAGTGAAGCTGCAAAAGTGCAAATAAACACACACCCACCCCTGGGGTTAATCCAGATTTGCTGTCAGGAGGAATAATGGAGACGCAGGTGTATTTACCTCATCCTTTTCTGAGGGGAAATATCCGAACAACTTCTTTAAGTTTCTTATTTTTTAACCAAAGCTGAAGTAAATTCCTGTGAAAGCCAACAGGATCTCTGCCGTGTTGTTTAATAYTAGTTTGAACTTCCCTAGCCCGTCCAGCTCCCTGCGGACCCCCCGGCCTCCTGCGCAGGAGGTGACCGGGTCGGCTCCACGCTCGGGGCGACGGCAGCAGGAAACCAGGCAGAAACAGGTCAGTGGTGAGAGAGAAGGTGGCAAACTGAAGTGGTGTTAAACCACTCTGTGGAGCTGCAGAGAGACACTGACTTACAGAAAAAAAAAATTTATTCAGAAAAAAAACATGTCAGTTTAAACAGATCATTTCTGGGCTCTCACTGCAGATCATGACTTAAATAAACCTGACAAACTAGATAAAATCTATACAATATAAGTAAAAATCAACTCAGACCTGAGATCAAAACTCAAAAGAAGATTTTTAACACTAAAACTAAAAAATATCAAGCTTTGGTTTTGCTTTGATACCCATTAACCACTCGTGAAACTGATTTCTTTTTTTAGCTGCATCATTAAACTTCCCTCCAAGGCTSTGCGTCTTTTTTTAGCTCGTTCTTTGGCTTGGTTTATTTTTGCAGGAGCTTCATGATGCCCATTCATGGCCTGAAAGCTTCCCAACTGTGTCACTGAAGATCAGCTCTGATTAGTCTGACGTCTTCACTAAGATCTGTACATAAATCTGAAGCAAAACACAGGATCTGCTTTAGTGATTTTGTACATGTGTGCTTTTATACGATGAGAAACACCKCCTCTGAAGTGGCGGTCATTAATTAGTGTTTGCCTCCCCATYGTTTAGACATGCAGAGATTGAGGCAGAGACCTTGAGCAAATGACTAAGGAGGATGGAGGGAGAGGGTTGGTGGTGCAGACAGGAAGGGAGTGTAAAGTTTGATTACAGCAGCTCAGAGAGGGGCTTTGTTTGGTGTGAGGGTCCTTAATTAGCTCCACAGTTCAAAACATGGCTCATTGGTTTGTTGAGCAGCAAAACAATTTCAACAATTGTTARTGACATTAAACAGGCAAAGTATTTCTCAATAATTCTAGATTGACTGGATAGACTTTACAAGAAAAGTCCAGACTCTCCTCCACTGGTGCAGTGAGATTTATATCTTTATCAAAGTGCCATTTTACACATTAGACTATGTCGTACATAGTCTTGTATTGGTGCAATTTACAAAGGTCTCATTATTTTATTATTTATATTTTTATTCTATTTGTATTACTATAGTGATTATTTTTATTTACAGATTTTATATTTTATAACGTGAAGTTTCACAGTATTACAGTTTTTGTGTTTTGCATATGTTTGCTTATAGTAAAATTTTAAATAAAAATCAAAATTACATTCTGAGTGAGTGTCAATGCTAATATGCAGGGGGGGGCGGGGGGTACTGGGGGTTGTTCGCCCAGGGCGCCAAATAGGCTAGGACTGCCCCTGGGTGGCCCTCATCCTCGCGTCGTGTGTTCACCTCCAGAGACCACCGCTATCCGTCCCCTCGCCCTGTAATTAGCTCCAGGAGTGGAATTCAAACCAAGTCAAAACAAAGAAAGCCCCTTGGCACACACACCTGCTGAAGCATTGGAGCAGCTTCCTCCAGAGGAAACGTCAACTTCAATCTTTATTTTCATCAAAGTTTGTCGTTTCAGGAGTGTGGTGGCCTTTAACCACAGATCAGATGAGAAGGTCAGCTCCATCAGAAGCCATCTGTCAGTCACAATCAAACACAGGAAGCAGGAACTTTCACCACTTTCTTCATCCAACTTTGTTTTCATCGCTTTTTCTTCTGTTTCTAAACTAAGTTTATACTACCCAAAGCTTGTGACCATAGATGAGGGTAGGAACATAGACCGACTGGTCAATCCAGAGCTCCATATCATATTTTCAGATATTTTATTGGACAGTTACTTGAATTTGTGTTTAYAGAAGCTAAATAAACTATTAATAAGTAGATCCAAGCACATAGCACTTGTTGTTGGCATTAGCCATAGCATTGTTATCATAGGCTAATGGTTTAAAAAAGCACAGGTCATTGCTGACCTGGGCAGAAACAAGTCGACAGACATTTAAAGCTTCTTTGGATCCTAAAAGTTTGACCCAACCTGAAACTAAATAATTGCAGCTTTGAGGCTTTTGAAAGCTCTCATCTGGCTCGTCGTATAAAAAAACCAGCTCTGCAGCAGATAATTTATGTTGATCACCTCGACGCTGGTAAATCCTCCAGATTATATGACAAATCTTTTTTATTAAACACAACATGGATCAGATCCTAAATGTACATGAATTTTTGGCGATATCTCGATACCAGCCCAATTAGGGCATTGGAGTACTCACTGTGATCCATTTCACTGTGTTTTGAACTGGAGCAARTCACTTCCTGCCCTCTATCTGCAGTAAGAGCTGTGCTCSGGSCRGGGGCGGTTCTAGGGGCGGGGCCACAGGGGCATTGGCCCCAGCTGAAATTTGATTGGCCCTSTGAAGTGCTCCTGTCCTGTCACTCATTTGTTCTTCACCTGGGAGTGATGATGGTGGATGCAGTTCCATGTTCAAACACAATAGAGGCGCTGATGAGTCAAACAGTAAAGTCCAGAATGAATCAAGATTACAGAATATTAATATTATTATATATAATATTGTACTGTATTACTGCATTATAAATATTCACCGCTGTCAAAGGGAGACTTATCGTAAAGTGTAATACAGTACACTATTTATTAATGACAAATAAACATTTATAAATGCCAAAAGTTATTTTTTAATGTAAAATATTTTTTTAAAACTTAGAGTTGATTATCAATATTTTAAACTATTGTTCAAACATGTAACTACTGTCAACAATGATGATGTATCAAAAAAGTATAAAAAAAAACTAAACACACCAAATACTCCCACCCCATCTAAAATAGTGTACAAGTTTTACACTTTACAATAAGGATCCCTTTAATATTTGTGGAGATTTATAATGCAGTAATACAGTACAATATAATATGTTAAAATATGTTTCCTAATCATTATTGTGCTTACAAGATAGAAGACTTGGCCACTCTATGAATACTGTGGCCCCTTGWTGACCTCTTACTCAGAAAAATCCTAGATCCACCACTGGCTTGGGGACTTAGTCTGTGATGTCACAGAGGGTTTATAAAGAGCAGAACTCAGGCAGTCTGGTGCCGGTATCAACAGATTTAAGCTTCTGACTTGATGTTTATGATGGTTTGAAAGACAGGAAGATATTTTACCAGAATCCCAGATCATTGGAACTGTTTAGATTAAACTAATCTAAATATGAATTTGGAAGGAATGTGTTGTTTGTTGTAAAAATAAAGGACAACCTTCAGGTTTATGAAGAAAAGTCTGCATGTTTTAATGTCCCGGAGCACAAGCAGCCTTGACTTTAACAAACACTTTTCTTGGATATAAAAATCAAAGAAAGTCACTTTGCTGGCGGCTTTTCATTTCGCTAAAGAGGAGAAATGACAGCAGAGACCACACGTCGGTTTCAGATGAGTGCCAGGAGGCGAAGCCACCATCTCCTTTCAGCCCGAGCCCACTGCAGGACTCTGATCAGCATTCAGTCCTCGTCCTGCCTCAGCCCACAGCTGCCTCCAGAAACACACCCAGCGGGGATCTGTCAGCACACACACACACACACACACACACACACACACACAGAGAGAGAGAGAGAGAGAGAGAGAGAGAGAGAGAGGATAACATGTCAGTTGATTACATGTTCTCTGAGAACGAGACGACCGTTGCCACCGCGACAGGAGGCACCTGTCTGTCAACGTCTAGGCTGACAGAGGACACCACACACACACAGACACACACACACACAC